AATGAAACAAACATGAGGGCATGTTCACAGATTCTGCGCCAGAAATCCTGAGCGACAGTTGACCTATGGGTTCTTGATTATCTTTAGAAGGCAGGTGGAGGTTTTTCATGTATCTCTCAGTTTCCTTGGAACGATCTTCTATTTGTGACCTAAGGGTTCAAGAGTTTAGGGTTGAGACTAGGCTCCCACCGATGGAGGCTCCTTGGCTCGGAAGATGAAAGAATTTCTGGTGATTTGTAAGCTTGGTGTAAGCTTGGGTGCTTGACAGGGGGGCCCAAGCTTGATGGCATTTTGGGATGTCCAGAGTGGAGAATTTGTTGTATGCTACGCTGTACGAGGAGGACCTCTTTGGATGCATGACCAAGGTCCGCACTATGAACAAGTTCTGTGTGTGAAAAGCGCTATGATTTCGTAGAAGTGAAGCTGAACGTTCGGTACATTTTTGGGGTGCCCTTTCCCCACAAAAGGCCCAGACCTAAATCTGAATCCCCTCCTTCAACTCTCAACCTCAAATTGTAGCCCCAAGCGCTACACCTTGTACCCGCGCTTTTACTTGGAGCCGGGGTAGCCATCAATCTCATTTGGCTAATCTCACCCCGTTGACAAACACCCAGCCGAGATAGCTTCTTAAGCTCCAGGCAAGTGGACAGCCGAACCTTTTAACAACTTCAGGGACGTAGAGCGACTATGCAGGCACACGCTACTTCCTAAACCCTAAAACCTTGCTTTGCAAGGACTGCCAGTCCACCCTGTCTATGGGCCATTCCATGTGTGGCACCGGGTGCAGCAACACCTATGGTGCCAACCTCAAGGGTGCAGAAATTCGGGTGTAGGATTTACGAGGTAGAAGGTAGCTGGAATTCAGGAAGTGCTGCCTCAACTGGCTGTGAGTTGGAGCCCTGGGCTTAGGAAAACTTCTGGGTACTAGATATACCGTAAGGTTGAAGCAAGTCCTTAGCAAGCGTTTGGAAGCTCAGGTGATAATAGTTATGACGTGCGGAATGATGAATCATGATGAAGAGACGGGTCATTCAAGTCAGGTACGTCATTGCACTGCAGGTGCATGGGATTTGTTTCTTGTAGTGGCGAAAGTTTTTGTTAAATTGTGGTGCAGCTGCAGTTTTCCTACTTATGAACTGGAGTGATGCAAAAGTCCAATTGTAGCTTGGTGCATCTTTACCCGTAGATGTCAAGACCCGAAACTGAGAACCCTAAACCCCAATGAACCCAGATCCCGAATCTCTAGCCCCCATACAGTTGGGAGCAGAGCAACAGCCAACTGATTCTGCCTAAGCCTAGACCCCTTTCTGCCTCAAGATCAGCATGCAAGCGGCAAGGCTTAAGTGAAGCGAAGCTTCTCCATCCCACCCTGAGATCCTAACCTTTACACCGCACATGTGTCAGTATGTATGTACCTGTACATGGTCACGCACTCTTTCCTGCACCCTTCTCATGCCCGTATTCCCATTTCTAGCCCTGAAGTTCTTTTTGGCTGATTGAGGCAATTGCAACATCAAGGGAGGAGTCGACAAGCTCTCAGCTGCTCGGCCAGTTGCGGGTTTGGGTTTGGGGCTGAAGGATTTTTCAGATTGTAAAGGTTCGGGTTTGGGGTTTGGGGTTGATAGTGTTGAGGAGTTTGGTTGTTCCGGGATCAGGGTCGGTGATTTGATCATGGAAGCCTGAAATGAAGGCCTCGAGGTTGTTGATGTATGGCCCCTCCTCACCACAATGTCATGAAGTCGGGTACGGGTAGTCTAAGCTCAACAGGGTCCCTCGGTCATACAGTCAGATTTTTCTGCCTCCCCACTTTCTAGGAATTGACAAGTTAAGGCCCAAGCCCCAAACCAACCCCTAGTCCTATGCGAGTCGGGGCCCCATCCACATTGAAACCATGACCAGGACCGTGCAGACAGGGGCACGCAAGGCTCCGGGTCACACTGCACAGGACTGCGTGGCTACTTCCAGGTTGAGCGGCGCAAGGCTTTTGCTGGTATTCCTGGAATGAACTGCTGGGCAGTTGTTACTTGCGAAACGTTTGGGTCAGCAGCAGAACACCTTAACTAGCCAGGCTCCCAGAATCTGTGAGCTTTACACAGCGCACAGGTGAGGTTCAGGATTCACCTGCAAATTCAGATTCACTTACTTGTTTCACAGCTCCAATCAACCCAAAAATGTCCAACACCGCGGATAGTGCATAGGGCGCTTACTTTAAGATGAGATCCTGATCTTCCGACTGCAGCTCAAAAGCCCTCACAGCCTAAACCCCAGAATGAAGCCGCTTGGTAAGCAATGTTCTTGCTTGATAGGTAAGCCAAGTACAACCAGGATTGAATTGCCAGGGGGTTTCTAGGCTTTCTAGCCTGTTGAAGTGATTCCTTGGTTAATTTCAAGGCATTTGGTGCTTGAAATGCCCTGCGGGCTGCCAACCCGCAGGTACTTTCAAGCCATTTATTTGGTGTGAAAATGCCCTGCGGGCTGCCAACCCGCAGATACTTTCAAGCCATTTATTTGGTGTGAAAATGTCCTGCGGGCTGCCAACCCGCAGGTACTTTCAAGCCATTTATTTGGTGTTCAAATGCCCTGCGGGCTGCCAACCCGCAGATACTTTCAAGCAATGCGCTTTATCGATGCCGTGCTTGCTTGACGTGATGAGTTATGAATTCCGGTGTTCAACTTCTCCTTGATAGCTTCTTGTCGTAGACGGGCTTTTCCTTAAATTTCCAACCACACACATATCCCCCACAGGTCGACCAGTGGGTTACTCAATTTCTGCGACGGCATGCTTCCCTCTTTCGAGGATTGTGCAGCCCCACTTTTACCCGATCTACCTGCCCCTCTCAATGATGTCTCAATGCAGCTTGTGCCCGACTTTTTGCAGCCTGGCCTGAACCCCTTCAACTCAAACACACCCACCTGCTTCCATCCCTCCAGCTGCTATACAAAGTGCCCGATTCTTTGTGCCCTCCTCCGCCGGTCTTCCTTTAAACTGTTGTCAACCCATTCGCCGACAAATGTCTCTGAGCCATTCCGAGCGCTGTCCTTCACGACGCCGCAGCGCGCTTTGCAAAAGAAATGATCGGGTGCATCTGAACAATCGCGAGCTGCACTCAGCCCCCAGCACTACTCCTAAATACGGCCTATCGATTTCTAAACCCGCGAAGAACCACCTATTTCCGCTCCGGTGCGCCTGAGCCCAAAGGAATCCGTGGTCAGGCTATCTTACGAAGAAAAACCTGCTATGACAATCAAGGAGTCATCCAAAGTGTCGAGTACAAACCCGGATCTGGGGCATTGCATTTCATGCCTCACACCGACTCCGAACTCCCCGGTGCGTGGACATACCTCTTGCACGTGTCTGCCTTGGGTTGCTTTTTCCACCTGGAACTGCATTTTGGAAAAAACTAGCTTGGTTGACCTGTCCTGTCGTGCATCTCTCCCATGGTACACGCCTAGGGTACACTTACGTCGAAAACCGTGCCTTCTTGATGCAGGATTGTTCATCTGAAAATCACTCTTTGCTTTGCTGCCTCTTCTTTCCAACAGAGGCTGTTGACAGAACTGCCGCATTCTGGAGAGAAAATCTAGTCTTTGCATGAGCTTTGTGAATCATCTCGACTGACATGCAAGGCGAGACATTACTATTGCAAAGTTTCGCCGTGGTGACAAACCGCAACCCTTGTGACAGTAAATTTCACATTGCCTGAGCCATTGGCTGTATAGACTCGCAGTGATACTAGAAGCTTCCTGTCTTCTTTGCATTCCATGCGCGCCATGAACGAGCTGCTTGTGCATGTCACTGTTTCTGAGTGGTCCTTTAGTGCTGCTGTGCAGGAACTGGATCTGGCATGGCTGAGACGGACTATTCTGCTCGTTGTGCCAATGCGTCACATCACTGCATATCTCTGCATTTGGAAGCACGTGCTGAGGGAACTCTCTGCCCCGCAAGATGACTGGCTGGCGGATGAGACTACGCAACTTGCTCTTTCAGATCTGGCAACTCAAGAGCTCCAAGATGTTTCGGAAAGTTCAGGAAGCCGCAGAGAATAGTTACTACAGGGCATGCCCCCGTGCATCCTGGCGCACGGCACGGTTTGATTCCCAAGAGGACTCTTGCATTGGGTCACGGAATGTTATGGAACTTCAGCACACTGTCTGTAAACGCCCGGAAGCTCCGCAGCGGCAACGCCTTCAGTGCAGGAAGTTGCAAAGTCAGTGAAAGATGAAACTTTTTCACACAGTGGACGACAGGTCCCGGCCACATAAAAAAGTTTAGTTTCGCATGCTCCTCCTAATCCTAATCTGTTATTCATTTGCTGGTCGCTGATGCTGGCATAGCACGTTGCCGCTGGTGGCCCGCCTTCTGAGCAACCCTTGGTTCCATACAGGGCTAGCTGTCTGTGCGCTGTAACTGTTGAGGTACATTCCTTCCAAGTCTTTTGCACTTGGCATCCCTCCGTTCCTCAGCATCCTCCGGACATCTTGAGAGCACAAGCTTGCCCGAATGTCCCTGCTGCACACATCTGCAGACTGCCTCCACATAGCTGTCGGTGAGGCACGGCATCTCCTGCTCTAAACGAGGTCTCGGAAGTGACGCTCAGCAGTCTGTCTCTGCAAAGACCTCCAACAAGCTGAAGGCTGACCCCTGGACGTGCTGCAATCGAGCCTTGAATATTCTCAAGCACTGAACTCTCCCCAGTTGGGGCTTGAATTTGCTGGCACGCAAGGCAAGAGCATGCAAGATCCAAGAGGGCATCTGCAGAGCTCAGGTGTCTGCTGAGCAAGAATGTAGCATTGTGCGGTGCGTTGGCGATTTTGCACCTTGGAAAAAGCAGCTTTCACTGTTGTCTGGTCACTGCCATTTATGCGTGTCCCTATGAAGCCCATAGCCATTCGTTGTGGAGCATGAAGCATCACGAGCCATAGCAGGCTGAATGACGGAGAGGAGGCATACGCTGATGCGCGCCTTTGACAATCCAATTGGTACACTGCAAGCCTTTTTCATCCCACGGTCGAGCACATTGGCTGCACATCTGCCACGGCCAGTCTCCACTGACCAGCTTGCAGACTTCTTGCAGAAGTGTCACCACCTGGCATGGCCCGGGACGCGAGGCTGTAAGGACTGTGAGAACGGCGTGCTGAAACTGAAGGTACTTTGGAGCACTAAAGCGCAATCAAAGGCATCACATATAAATGCAGGAATGTATTTTGCGTTTGCCTGGCCTCGCGGGCAGCATCCCCTTTCGCACAAACCTGAAAGCTCAGGCATCAACACGGCATGGCGAGCCAAATGTCGCTGCCGGCACGGCTGCACTTCCAAAATCAGACCGTTAGCTCAAAGCAATGGATGCAAACAAATGAGCTAGCTTGCACGTAATGCAGGCGAGAGACTGAAACAACCGCGCTGTAGGTGATCAGGTCTGGGGTTGACGCCCGTAGTTCCTTCATGTCCTTGCAGGGCACGTAGGCCACTTCTGGTGCATCAAATCAAGTGAAGCTCAAGTTTGGAAACGCTTGGCACGTTCATTCATAGTTGTGATGGTGCGGCAGAAGCGACCGACCGACCCCTGTAACTGGCTAACTGGGAGACATTGACAGCAAGTCATGCAAAATGTGCAAGTCAAGGCTCAGCAAGAAGATCAAGAGATTGTCGCCACTGCCAACTTGTTTTCAGAGCCTCATCAAGTTGCGATCAAAGACAGCTGTCGCAGCTTCTGCAAATGCTCCTGTGCAGCCGATCGGATATCCTGCTGGAACCCGAAATGCATGCTACAACGCAATGCAATACATACTAGTTGTGACTGAACTGTCTGGCCGTTGGCATGTCAACACACAAGGTCTTTTTTTGTAGGCAAGCCATATAAATACTACCAATCCGGGCATCTTGGCTGCATGGAGACCTCAACACGTACAAAATATCTGACAATTAAGGCCTACTCACCTTTGAGCGAGACTGACACTGAAATGTCGCGCCGCTGTAAACGCCAACTTGGCCCAAGCAATCGAGGTAATCAACACCCAGATCTACGACTGCTACGCCTTTTGAGAATATGCCAAAAACGAACCCACTAGAGATACACAAGGGCCCCAATAGCACGCCAACCGCAGGCGGAAACCTTGCACTGCAGCTGCTACAGTGAAGTATCCAATGCCTGAGAGTATATGTTAGGAGGGCCGCTGTCCCAAAGCCCTCAAGAAAGCAAGAGCAACTAGCATCTGGCGATTCAAAACCGGTAGGCAGAAGGCAACCTTCTGGAAACAGCAAGTGCATTTTTTGGGCAAGCAAGTGAATCTCATCTGAGCAGCAGCTGGCACTCTCTGCCATGGAGGGTCAGGATGAATCAATGAGGGATATTCAAATTACTGAAGACGTCCTAAGCAACCTCCACACAAAATCCGGATAGACGCTTTCGTTGGGCGGGCATCTTTTCAGTGAGCTTCGAACAAATGTTCATCAAACACATGCTGCGCTTTCAGCGAGAATGTGAAGATGCCAAGGACTTGGCCATGGAGTCATGCCCAGGAAAAGTGTACAAGGAGCTTTCATGTGAACAGGAAGCGAGTTCTCGAATCTTTGTTACTTTTCATGGATGTGGACATAGCCACGTCAAGACCAGTTGTGACTGCAAGCGTGAATTCACGACATAGTGCATGCCAAAGAGCTGCTTGCGCCGCGTTGTATGAAAGTGCATCTGGCACAAGATGCTTGACTTTCATGTCCTTCGAAATTGCACTTGGGACTTGCCAAAGTCATCGAGTAGAGGGTCCTGCAGCAGACAGGCAGCCGTCTGCCAGCGCGCGCTGACCTCGCAGGCCGCAATAGCCTGAGGTGCACACAAGACTTTGCATTCGTGGCTCGCTTGTCTTCTCAACTGCGAAGTCGAAGTGACTTAGCCCCACACTGAATTGAAGCTCACAATGTCTGGACTTGCCATGCTGTAGAGAATCCTCGGGTCCAAGTCGCAAGCAAGCTCAACCTTGCTGCTGCGTGTCACTCAGCCACGGACGCCACTGCGTGTACCCACCTTCCCGCTGCTGCGCATGCTGCAATGGCAGCGTTGTGGGTGATAACCTGTAGGAGCAGTCGTTGGCCTTCGGCCTTCGGCCATGCCATGCTCAGGACGGCTCCGGTAAAACTAGTCAAAAACATGTGCTCAGATGACCCCGATGTGCCAAAGAATGCAAGGAAGCAGCGTTGGCAGCAATCTGGCGCTGGTGCATCTCCTGGGATGTAGCAAGCGCGCTCACGTGTAGCTTTTCCAAACCTCTTCTCCACTGCGGGTCCCTTCTTGAGGTGAGGCACCCTGAGCACAGCCAGCCTGAGCGACAAGAGCCAACATGCATTTAACATGATCAATGATGCGAGAACTTTCGAGCACATACAATGCTCATGCATACTGCATACGTTATGCATACATGCTGAGACTGCTGAGATGCGCGAACTCCCATTGCTTGTCAGCCTTCAGGGGCCAAACACGCATGCCATCGTGTGACTGGAACAGCCTTTCCGCTCGGCATCAGAAGTGCTGCGTTGGAATGCCGGCTGAGCGTCACAGAAAGAGAGAGAGAGAGAGAGATAGAGCGAGAGAGAGACAACGTCGCTGAGACATACGCTGCTATCTCGTCTCCTTTCAGGGCTGACTGCGACCGCTCGAGGCGGAATGTTTGTAGAATGCTACTGGCGAAACAGATGCGCTCTAGTGTTGAAACTGCGCATGTGCTGAAGCCTCGCAAGCACTTATGATCGCACTGAACGTGATGATGTCTGGCTCCACTTCCTGAGTAACATCGCGCAAGCAAAGCAGCGTCGCAGCACAATTTCACAAGGTGCCCAATCCGTCCGGGCACAAAGTACTTCAAGCTGCTTACCTGCAGCAGCTCCACTGCAGTGGGAAACTTGCAAAGGCTTCAGCCAAGATTCTGCAGAGAGCATTTTCCTCAGCACCTCCACGGCCTGCTCCCACTCCTTGAGGGCACCGGTGGACATCGAGAGGTCAAGGATCGCACATTTGGGTATACACATCATATGGCATTACTGCTGCTTCGAGATCTAGCCGTGTCCATTTCTTGCAAAACGCAGGTGCGTCTTGCTTGCTTGCTTGCTGCGGGCTATACCCACCCCTGGCGGGTGGGTCAGGGCACCGCCCAAGCCCTGATGAGTCTGCAGATATCTTTCTTTCTTTAAGGGTGAAAGGGGGCGCTACAACCCCTGCAGATATCTCTCTCTCTCTCTCTCTGATCATGGATGGCCGGCGTTCATCAGATGGCCGCGATATGAACACCACACTGAGGAGCAGGAATACATGAACAACTCCAGGAACAAATAGCTGCGTCTAATCTAGTTCTCCACATACAAACAGGAGCGGCTCTCCGAATGTACCATGACGATAAGACGTGGGTCCAGCCTGCTGCTTGTGTTGTCTGCTGGTAGCTCGTTTGGCTGCTGATTTGGCTGACTTTCCAAGCAGCTGCTGCTAGCAGGGTCATCAATCAGCCTCATGCATGCCAAGAAATGCCAGATTGCCTGCCGCACTTCGCAAGCTGTCGCGACAGCATTGCAAAGGGCAGCATCTGGCTCTGGCCCGGAATTGAAGCATTCTTGCATCAGTCCTGTGTGCAGGCCAGAGCATTCCCAGAAGTTTAGCTCTGGTGAGCACGGACCAAGACAACACAAAGTGCAATCAAGGTTCCAACAGCTTGCTGCCACTCTGCAGCCTGGCCTGCTGCTTGCAAGGCTCATTTTTCAAATACCTCTTGGAAACGACTGTGGAGGCAAGGAGCGCAAGCCAGCAATTGCAGCTGACAATGTTGTTGCATCCTCCCGTGGCACTGGAGGATGCAAAGTTGTAGGGGAATCCAGGAGGCATGGGCTGGGAAAACGTCTGCACTTGCAGTTCAGCTGCTCAACCAAGGATGCTAGCATTCCCAAGATTCCGTCCAAATAGCATGCGGCAACATGAGTGATCACATCTGCCGTCCGCGATGGCCCGGAGGTGCGCGAGACAGCGCCACAGGCTCAGGCCCTCAGCGGCGCGGAACAAGCTTGGAGCTGCTATGAAACCAGAGCACCTACAACCCGTACAACCCGTAATTCAGGCGGCTTTTGCGGATTGCCCTCTGCCAACGGCCCCCAGCCATGCCCGAAGCCGTTGTGCTCAGCTTTGCTGTTTATCCGCGTGATGCTTACTTTGTGTCTGAGTCATGTGCCCACGGGTTCCACAGTTCCACCTGTCTTCACATGGCTGGAAGGCACCATACGCGGCACCCATCGTTGATGTCATTCAAGTCCTTGCTGACCATACCCCTATAGAGGTGCATGGTAGGGTCACATCGAAAAAAGCCGAAACGACACGGGGAACTCCGTGCGCCTATGAGACTTCAACATCGACAGCGTGCATAAAATCATGCGATGTAGGGGACTGCAAGTTGGCGCTCTGCGGAGAAATCTTCCGGAGATTTCAGGAGCAAATGCGTCATGGTCCTTGAATTCAGGCATTTCTTTTGCAAACGGAATGGCGGCGCCACATGCGGTTGCATATGCTTGCATAGCATCAGATTCGAGAGGCTGCCAAGTAAGAAAATCCAAGGGGATGGGCCTGTTGAGGAGTGACATACTAATACATGCTGAGCAACCAAGCAGTCCACCCCAAAGCATGAAAGAGAGCGAAACAACAGAAAGAAGATCGTAGATAGTCGGAAAAGCGGCTCACTGCTCTAGATTTAGACTCTAGATCTGGCAACATGCGACTGAAACATGCGCAAGCATTCGGTGTGTGTGAACAAGCTGAAAGAAATCCTGGGTTTTCACTCGGTGCCCTGCTGTTCCTTGACGGATTCTCGCGATTGCATGCTTCTTATGCTTTGTCTTGGCCACACTTTGGCCGCCTTCGGCCACTCCAGAATTTCATTAACATGTGCTGATCATGAAGGAATTTTGTGCATTTCCTCCCGTAGTAAGACAAGGAAATCCATTCATGTTGGATTCCGGCTGCAAATCCATGCACACTCCTTGCGCTCAGGATGCCCTCCCATCTCTCCTTGAATTCCTTGAATCGTTATGTGCAACCCTGCGCATCCCTTTGGTGGTAAATAGGACCCAGCGGCCTGAGCCCAACGAGTGCGGCAGGCTTCCAAGCCTGCCGTGAAGGCGACCTTCAGCGCAAGGCGGGCTGACTAGATTTGTAGAGGCCGTCTGGTAGTCTGCTACTCTGAGGACCAAAGAACCGATGAAGCTTTTTGGGTTTCGGCTACAAGCTATTAGCCGACATGCATTAGAGACCACGCCAGCAGGGAATTGGAGCCTTTTCCATAACCCCAGCTCCTGAATCAACAACTTGGCCTCATGAGCTGGGTGTGCAACTCCCCGAAAAGGTGAAACCTCAGTATGTTGATGGCTGCCTACCGACGTACTGCAACAGCCACTGTTCTGCTATTCCTGGCTTCGATTTCAATGAAGAAATAATTCTAATTGCAACGGAACGCAATCTAAAAAAAAAAAACGACCTCCACCATGCTGGCATGAAACTGGTCGCACTGTCAAACTCCAGCTTCAATCCCTGGCCCCCAGGCCTGCATGACCCTGAGTGGAAAATCATCCACATCTGCCAGCAAGGAGCCAACAAACGAAGCAGCCGCTGCCATGCGCCGGCTTTCTTGCAGGTGAGGGCCACGTAATTCCTGCTGGCCGCACAGTGCGTGCCCCACATTACGAAACTTGTTCCCACAAGCATGTGCTTCAGCTGTTTGCCAGCTTCGGTCCATGGGACTGACCAGCATACAAACGCAAAGCCCCTGCTCAGCCAAACTGACTATGGTGCTGGGTGCTAGCGGCGTTGTATTGGGTGCGGGGAGTACTGGGACAAGCATGTAAAACTAATGTTAGCTGCGGATTAGTAAATGGGTTCCTAACAGAGCGAATTTTGGGCTGAACGGGTTCATGAAATGGGTGCGAACGGAATAGTGCGATTTTTTTTGTCAAATTGAGAGACGAAATTGATCCCAAGCAATACAAAGTTCATTGACAAGGCCTGAGACCTCCCCAAAGCAAATTGCCGAAATTTGATTGTCGGTCCCCAGACGATTCAGTCTCTTTACAATACCTGTTTGGGCGGGCTATTACTCAGAACTTGGCTTTAACAGCCTGCGACTGTAGCGGCAAGCGGGCCGGCGGCGTAACCGGAACTACTCCAGGGGAGAGCCGAAACCGAAAGCAGGACAAAGGATACGGTACCGGGAACTTGCAAAGTGGGGACCGAAAATCGGTCCCCGCCTTTGCTGACGGCTTCTTTGATTTGGTGCCGCGCATGCAGCACTAGCCTGCGGGGACTTCCAGGTGAGGTGAAACGTGAACGAGAGTCTCAAGCAAGGAATCGAACCTCGGGTGTGTCAAAAGAGGCATGCTGTCTTGAATCCTCCGAGGGGCATGGTGTCCCTCATGCTGTCCACGGAAGGACTCCGGAAATCCCTAAATGCAATTGTGATTAGAGTCTAACTGGGGGACCGGAGAAGCGCCTTGGAAGCTGTCTGGAAGTATGCTTGGAGGTCCAGTTCGCCTAATCCCCTCAACGGTTCAAGTGACGGCAGGGCCGGCTGGCATGTTCTAGCAACCCGCCGCTTCTGGTTACAAGTTCGGGCTGGGTTCCTATTTGTTACAAGTCACCGTTACGGACAGCCGGTGCCTGTTACTTCCAACCCTCGCGATGTATTATTCCACAACACAAGGTCAGTGCTTCTTGTCATGTAACAGTCTCATTGAGCGCAGTCAAGTTTCAGACCATGATCGTACAGATCGATGGAGCTGCGGAGCATATGCTGCACCTGCGTCTGCTCAAAGGTCAATGTCACCCCTGACATGAGGAAACGCAAAATATGGCTGCACGCACATGTTTCCGCCGCCACTTGCGATGGCGCTGGCTGGTGGTGACGCTGGTGCGGTAGCAGCAGCTGCTGCTGCTGCTGCCGGCGCCGCTGGCGTTACCGCTGCCGCTGGTGCTGTTTGCTGCTGCAGCTTCGCAACGTGCTGAAAGCCAAGGAGCAACAAGAAAAAAGGAGCTCGCACAAAATCAGGCAGGCGGCCAGACCCAGCGCTTGCTGCCAGGCTCTGACGCGGTCCTGAGGCATCTCTCCCCATGCCGAATCTTGAAAGCTGAAATGCCGTGAATCCTGGGCATTGGTGCCTCCTTCGAGTGGAGGTGTAGGAAGGCTGCTTCCAGCCCGGGTCGTGGATTCAGGGCGGGTTGGGAGGAGCCCGTGAGGATAGTCCTGGTTATGTGCTGCGCTCATGCTGCTTTATACGTTACCAGCCCACGCATTTTTGTGTTCGTTTCTCCCACAGCCCCAAACCCTTCCTATCAACATCGTCAACAGAAATTCCGACAACATTGACAGGCAGCAACAACACAAACTCGCGCGCCCCTTCCGTCTGTGCTTGCTTAATTGACACGAAATAGGCAACCCCCATGTCTACTTTTAGGGACGGATCTTGAAGTCTAGGATGACTGTGGCAGCTGGCACATCATCAAGCCATCATCAAACCTATCTGATTTTAATAGATTTCCGTGAACCTTTCTGCACTCGGTATGGGGGGTCTCTCGGATTAAGCGCCCCTGTGAAGGCCGATGCTCTGGCCAAACCCTGGTTGATATCGGCACGAACGCTCGGCATTCTTTTTACTGGACATGGTCTGCAACCCGGCATCCAAAGCACCGAAGGCCGCGCAGTATGTGATGCTGTCCGCTTCCACATCCTGTGCAGCAAAGGACCGAAACGAAGATGATTCAGCTTTGCCTACCACTCGAATGGCCAACTGCGTCCTGCCCTGCTATTCCCCACAGAATTCCAAGAGCATCTTCCCAGTGACTCTGGCGCGCAGTGTTGGCAATCAGCTTCCTTGGCAGTACAGTTGGCGCTAAATCTCCAAGGTAATGTAAATGGATGTAAATTGCAAAGGCCACCATTCAGCAGAGGCAAGCCCAGCAGCGTGCTCTGCTGGAGGACAGTCCGAGATCGGCGATCTGGAGCAAACCTTCGTAAACAGCAGGATGCAGCTGTGAAGGCATGAGAAATCACGAAACGTCACAAGTTGCTGTTGTTGGGCTATGCTCGCAAGGCCCTGGCGATCTGAGCGGCGCGTGGGACATGCAAGCTCATCACGCTGGCAGATCGAGCTGAATGCTTCAGCATCACTTGGCCAGGCCCATTTCATTGTCAAAGAACGTGAATGATGTGAATGTAAAGTAATTGTAGGCTTCAGAAACTGTCGGATTCTGAGAGGCTGAACAGGTGATGCCATGACATCTGCAACTATGCAACTAGGACAAAAATGACAAGATAACTTCGAATATCAGCTTGTCCTGAGCAGCTGTGCAGCTCGTGTCTACCCGCAAGCCACACACATTCACTCCCGTAGACTCCCGAAACCAGGCCAACACCAGGTGGTCTGTTCACGTTGAAGCAACATGGGAAGTAGGACTCGGACCAAGGAAGGTCTGCACCAGTTCCTGACAGCTGGAAGAAAACCGCAGTGACACAACCAGGATTGCACTACTTCGCAATGAAATAGCCCATCCCTTTTTCACTCCAATGTCAATACATATCAACCCATGTGCGATCCGTGGGCACGATTGCATTGTCGAACTTCAAAGAGAAGGCATTTCTGTTGTTTTTTTGTGCTGCTGCATCAGCTGTCCTTCCCTTCACACTCAACAGCTCGTGGTACCTAAATTTCTTTTTGGGTTGTCCCGAAGGGAAATGTGCTGGGCCTGGCAGCCCGCGGTGGTTTACACCATTTCGAACCTTCGTCTGCGAACAGGGTGCATCGCACGCCTGCGAGCGAAGTGGCAACTTGCCGCGCCAGCTCGGGACGTTCCTGCTGCGCAAGCAGCCACAGCCCTCTGTGAGAAGCTTTCCGGGAAAATGAGGCAAACCTCCTTCAGATTTGGGAGGGATGGGAACCTGAATAAAGGTTCTGCACCGAACTCATTCAGCGGCGCGTGCATTGAACTGAGCGGGCGCCAACCACCATCCATGATGTCTGCTTCAGGCCAGTCTTTTGGTTCTGCGCAATTGCAAACGAGAATATACCGCAAGCTTGGCTTACTCGTCCGAAGCTGACGGAGAAAAGTTCGAATCCTCTGTGAGGACCAGTGTTGGAGAACATCTTTCATGATGTAGAGCTCTGCATCTTGGACCTCACCTATGTGCGATGTGAACTCTAGATGCTCAAATGTGACGTCTTGAGAAGCCCATCGGGATCGATTCTCCTCAATCACTGACAGCACAACGTCATAGCCGACGTAGCGCACGCCGAGATCATGGTAAACGTATGGGGAGAACTGCCAGTCCCCGCACCCGAGATCCACAACGGTCTTCACTTGACGCTCTTTGATGAACTTGCGCAGGAATTCAATCCTAGGCCCAAGCTTTTGCAATGCTTTCGGGTCATCATCATGCTACTTTGGAGCCTGGCTATTGTGCCTTCGACGCATGCGAGCAGCAAGCAGGAGGAAAAGCACTGCATCTACCAACAAAAAGCACGGGACGTGGCCCATGACTATTTGAACCTCAGGCCTATCATATCACTATTTGGAGCTATTTGGAGCAGGCATCCACTTCAAGCAGTGTGCAGGTAAACTACCTGCACCAGATCCTTTTCCCCAGGCACTGGTGGCATAGATTCGCGTGAAAGTGTCTTCAAGACTCAATCCTGAGCTTCGTGTGTAGCAGCGGGCATGCAACTCCAAAAGGAGTGATGAAACAAAACCGTGCGTGATGAGTGGCCTTGGTATGAAAGGCCGCGGACGGTATCGTTCAGCGGATACTTGTGGGAGGACATGGCTGTCTTGCAATCGCAACTGTCGTCCGTGTATGTCATCTTGCAACTACTGCATGGTTGTTGTGATAAAATCTGTACTTCATTTGCTTACTCCGGAGCTTCACACATTCACTGCTGGGTCTGAAGATGATGCAAAGTGCCAAACGACAATTAATCTTTCCTGCTAGGCCTGGGGGCGGTGGTTGACTCTGCAGGGCTTAGGCGTTGCTCTTGCTGAGACCTTAGCATGACTGCGGTTGAAGCACAGCGGTTGAAGCCCACAGGATGCTTTGCAGGCTGCCAAGCCCCTAGCGCCCTAGCAGTTTGACTGCCTTGTGAGAGCACAACTGTTGCAATGAGTGAGCCATGACTGGCCTCTGAAGAGTCCGAGCTGAGCGATTGTAGGGCAGCCCTAAGTTTTCCAAGGATACCGTACCTGTCGCTCTGCCGTCGCTCTGCTGTGCTCTGCAGCCATCCTTTGAGGGCCCAGCTCCATGCTCCAAATCTCTGCTACACTTGCATTGGGCGTGATGACGCTCGTGAGTGGCGCAGGCACCTGACAGGCAACGGGTTACTTTAAGGTACTCGATAAAGCGATGTTGAAACGCACATCTCTCTGGCTTAAAACACAAAAGTCAGCCTTTGCGTAAGCCGGCCTGCCACCTGCGGCAATCGAGTTGGCAAGCACACGTAGGCGACGCACTGTGTTCAGTTACAGTGCTGTTCATTATTCAGCTCAGAGAGTCCAGGTCTCATCCTGATTTTGTGGCCTGCATCCTTGGCAAGTGTCGCCTCAACTTACTATGCAAACCTATTTACACCTATAATGTCCTCCATCTGCCCTGCGCAGCTCGGAAAGAATTGTCGAGGCCAAATTGCCCGGCAGAAGATGAGTTGCAGCAGACAGACATGCAGTCACGTGATGTCACGTGCAGTTGACTCACTTGCAGGCCTGTGACTCGGGCCTTTTGCATCCGTTCACGGGACACCGTGTTTCCCGAGCAGCCGCAAAAAGAGCCATTCCGAAGTCGAATTTATGTTATGTTGAATTCCAGCATGGCAAACGATCTGTACCTGTGGTTGCAGTGACCGGCAGGTGGCTGTACACTGTACATGTCTCTAGGTAGCCTCAACCCTCAGATTCAAGGAGAAGAGCACCCTGGACCAGACCAAAGGTCCCGCAACCCAGGCAAGTCTTGCAGGAGCCTGCAAAATCCTGCAAACTGGCACTCCAAGACCATGTGGATGCCAGGCGGCAGCAAGGCCGCGTTCTCAAAGGCGGGCCGATGTCGCAACAGGTGTTGTGGCATCGTGGATTTCGCATATTGCTCTCCTTGGCCAACATGCATGCGCTCATGCTGTTCCAGCTAGAGAAAAAGCTTCGATGATATCAGAGCTTTTGCGCCGAGAATCTCTAGCTGTGCAGCAGTCGAGGGAATTGAGCCTGACTCCAAGTCTCATGAAGCAGGAATGGGTTTGCTTAATTGTCCTTGAAAATCGCTGCCGGGCTGCGCAACTTGTCGATGCCGAACAAGCCCAAGCGAAAAGTCTGAAACGCTGCCGATTGTGTAAAGTGATCGACCATCAATGGCCTGCGCCCCAGCTCAGCACGTGCCAAAGAGACGCTGTTCCAAAGTGACCAACGACCCCAAGGGGCATAGCTGTGTACATACAAGTACGAGGCAGGTGATTGGAAACGCGCAGATGGAAATAATACGAGCCTGCAAAAAGGTATCTAATGCTAATGTGCTCATAGGCTGCGGAAGGCAAACTGTTTGTCGAAGCTTCAGCCGGTTCAAGTTCTAGGCTGGTCAGCCGCAAGGCTCTTCTACTACAAGACATTCGGCAGATCACGAATCACTTGGGTCCGCATGTGCACAACAGAGACGTTTTGTACTTGCGCTGTTGCGGCTGTTATGCGGTCGTCTTATTCAAGCTCAGCTCAGGTTGAACTTCATAGCGGAAACAAGAAAGAAAGACGTGTACATTTTGCGTGGCAAGATGCACTCCAGCAGCAATCTGAATCCCCAGTGCAGCAAACTTGGCCTGAACAGAAATCTTTAGATTGCAATCTGCAACAGAGCAAGGCTCGGTACTGGCTCAAGCAAGGGCACTCCAGATTTCAGATCGGGGTCTTGCGTGTAGGCAACGACGACGCCCGGTGCTGCAAATCCATCGGCAGCAACGCTCTTGTAGCCTGGGCGATGTTGCAGCTGAGTATTATGCCACTGCGTAACAGCAGAGAGTGCACTATGTCCTGATGTGCTCAAATCAAGGCACCGTGGCGCTTCAGCATGTTGCGGACCATGTCCTCACCATCTTTGAAACTTCATCAGACATGCCTCCTTCAGTACTTCTTAATTCTTATACGGTTGCTTGATGTTGCGAGCAAGCAACTCCGAGCTCCAACTGTTCACGCCGTGCCCGCTCAAAGCCGTATGCTGCTAGCTCCTGTTGGACATCGCCTCAGTGTGACACATTTTCCAACTTGTGCCGCCCACGACTCACTCCAGCACAGCCTGTGAGACTGCAAAGGACTTAGTTCAGCACGAAATCTTGTGATAGCATCGGTGGGCATTGTCGTATGATACATGTGGCCGCCATTCTGATAGGCCTGCAGGGAACCGAGCAAACTGCACACCTCTCGAAGGATGCCGGACCACAAAACTTGTTATGACATCGCCCTGCTACATTTCGGTGGGTCCATATGCAGCCAGAAAAATCCATATGCAGCCAACAGATCGGCCAACGCTGTGAAGTTATGCCCAGCTATATGGCTTCTGGGAATATGCTCAAGCCAACTCTTCTGAGGTAACCTCATGTGCGAATGGATGATGGCGCCTCCATGACTGCAGCCCATTTTCTCAAATCCAACGCAAAGCTGTCAGTGGATGAGCTATCCAGATGAGCGCGTGCTAACCTGGGTTGCTTCACTGGGCTGCTTGGCTGCTCGGACGCTGTTTCCAGCCTCTTGGATGATGTTGCACCGGCTTTAGTGATGAGACCCTGCAATAAATATGTGTTTCGTCCTGCGCTTATTCAGTTTCAGGCCATTGTGGGGAAGTCTCTGTATAATGTGTTTTGGTCTTTTGGGGCCCCCAAAATAAGGGAAGCTGCAAATTTTGAGGCCCCGAGATAAGCGCTTTAACAGGCAGCCCGTTGAAAATCCTTTCCCAGCTCAGCCCTCAGAGATGTCCCAAATGTTCATAATTACGAAATTTGAATCCGCAGCCAATTAGTCAATTTGTGGTTACAAAACCCCTGTTCGAATCCTTGAACATCTTAGCCCAAGACCATCCCTTTTCAATCCCCAGAGACCTCAGAATCGCGGGAAGTTCTGAAGCCGTTATTGAAGACACCAGATCTTTAATTATCTGGAGGCCCTATTGTTGGAGGGCGGGCAACACTAAAGAGAGCGTTCCACTCAAATAGCTGCGTGTACAGATGGATTCTTATGATGCTTCTGTTTGCAGCATCTTGAGCTCGGGCTTGCTCTGAGGCTGGGTAAACTAGTACTCCTCGGGAAACAGCTTGCGCATGTCCAGAATGCAGAGATGCAGCTTGCTGAGCAGCACAATCCTCGGCCGCGATGCATACTCACCAAACACGTTGAAAATCCCTTAAGCCTGCCATGCACTGAAGAAATATCTGGAGATGCCCTCGGCTTACCAATACAAACCAGATACTGCTCAGAACTCAAAGAACCAGACTTGGGCTTGCCCCGCCTTGCAAAGCTGTGCGAAGCTGTGAGGTATTCTTCTTTCTTAGAGAATAGGACGCCCTTGGGCCTGCTGGTTTACGACTGTGTTTTGAGGACTGCTGTCTCATAAGCTTAAAGTCGGATCACCTTGCCAATTTTTCCCAAGCAATATATAAATACATGTATACCGCATTCACGCGCGGATCCTCAAATAGAACCTAGCTTAGACAACGTTTACGCCGCCTCTAAAAGGATGTAGCTGGTACGAGTAGCACAGAAAGCTCCAATGTGCAGAACCAAATTGTCACTTTTCTGCATATCAGAGGTACTAGCAGCTGTGAAGTGCTGAAAGAATTGAGATGTGGTTCATTTTCTTGTGTGTTACGGTGCGTTGGGTGTGATCTTTAATTAAATGGATTTGCCTTCTGGGGTCCAAATTATCAAGCAATTTGCAGGAGATTGGTTCAGGAAACTGTGGTTTTGCTTTGGGAAAACGAGGAGTTCGCACAAATTGCAAGCTCTTCGGCCCGCACTTTTGTCAAGCTCACCTGGCCAGGTACCAGATGCTCTGGTGATTTGGCATGCTCGAACATGCGAGTTACTTTGATTCGGGAGCGATGCATAGGTCACTGTATAGTCTTGGGTATGAACGTTATCATGGTTTGGGCATGGATGCTCTTGTGATCGGATGCGCGTGGAACACGAACGGTATTATGGTTTAGGTGTGGATGCTCCGGTCACTGTACTCACTTGGAACCCGGACGCTGCTTACTGTTATCATTGGGGCTGCCAATGAGCTCTCGCACAGGACAATCGAAAGAGGCCCGTGACTCGTGCTGTCCTTGGCCGGAAGGCCCCAAGGACCCCCATGCCAAGGGTGCGCAACACGCGCCATTCCGAGCACTCGTGTTCCAAGTACTAGATTTGAGCCAAAATCACTTCCTGTCACTTAGCTTCTGGCGTAGTTTGCGACTCTGCTGTTCTTGGATGGTCCCGATCTCTGTCTTTCTGTAAGCAGTTGAAGTCTGAGCTTTTCTGCCTGTCATTGATCCTCTTGTGCTTCAGGGTTCCCGGCTGATGAATCGTGCCCGAGGCTCCCTGATGACGCGGGACCTGACCAGCCCTTCTGCGGCGCACTTATCAGTACGTCCACGCCAAGCCTTTGCATATCAACCTCAAGCAGTGCCACACGAATCCTCGACAGCAAGTCCTATCTCTTCGGTGCATGCCACTGATACTGCTAAGGCTCCCATATGCATCCAGACGCTATACAGTCCTTAGCAGAGCTCGATTTTCGCATCGTTGGCAAACCAAGTTCACTTGGTGATATTGCTGTCCAAGATTCAAGGACAAGAAGCCCTCCAATATTGTGGACAGCTTCTGCTACTGCCTGGATGTATTCGTCCTGATGACATTCACGGTCACACCGCACTCAATCGCGGACAAAGCCAAGCTGTCTGCAGCAAAGACTCAGGCAGCATGATGCCGGAGGAGGTCTCCACATGAGGTGCAAAGACAGTGTTTGGACCTGGGAGCTTGAAAGGATCTTGTGACTGCGCTTGAGAATTGAATGGGCAAAACATGGTGCAACATCCAGACCGGAGCACACTCGTCTTCGATGGCAGCTATGACTTCTTCGAGAGGTGGTGGTGCATACATAGGCATAGAGCCCCGTTCGACCGGCCTCGCCTTCAGCACAATCTCCTTTGCCTGATATGCCAAAGTGGAGGTCAGCAAAGTCATGCCCACTACATCACAGCTAGAGAGTCTACGTAGCTTCTTGCGGCAGGGAAGCTGGCAAAGATCCAGCTTCGAAGATTTGGGACCATCGGTACGAGAAATATCCGTTACGAATCACTAGGCACTTGCGCTTGGCCCCGAAGTGACGCGCGGCCGCCTGCATCTGGGCAGGCCCCAGCGTGCCCGACATTCTTATCCATGAAGTTGAGACTGTTAAAAATGTTCTAACACAGGCCGAAAAAAGGGCCTCCCATCCCGTGACTGTACTGCGCTACTGAATGTCATGCGCACGCTTGAACGCGCACGCATCCGAAGGATGACCGTCAGAACCTGCCTCCATCGCAAAAGTACCAGATCCGGGCAAAAGAACTGCGGAGTGCGCATTGTAGACGCTTTTGAGTGTGGCAGCCACGTCTCGCATCACCTTCTTCCCAGTCTAGCAGAACCCTCTCTCTTCTTTGCGTGTTGCATCATGACAGGCTCCGGCTTTCTGAAACTTCGTGGACATATGGTTCAGGGCCTCGAGGAACCACTGCATGAAGGATGGCGATTACTTTCAAAACGCAGTGTGCAGGCTCTGTGTGCGGCACTCGGTTTGTGTACACAACCGAGAACTCCTGCTCGGACAAAGCAATTGTGAGCATGCGAACCGTGAACTCTGCTTTGGCAGGGTTTGCAATCCTGAAGCGCCTCATTGCTGGGTTGGCGGGCCATGTCCCTGAGCGCTCATCAGGTGAATGATGGTAAATGAACCCATCACGCTTGAACGAGATGCTTGCGAGCCTGTAAGCTTAAGGATCAGCCAGAGCAAAGCTTGAGCACAACGATTTGGGCCAAAGCGCAGCTGGACTGCAGCTTCATAAAAGGTATGCCACGCCGTGACTACCGCAGATCTGCTCATGCATGCTAATCAGATGCACGTGGCAAACTGGAAGGGCACAAGTCCGGCTCTTCCACTCCTCAACCCTTCCAAAAAGATGCCTGCGCCTTCGTGCCGCGAGTGGGACCACAGAAGCGAAGGACTGTCCTGACATCAAGTTGCTGCCCCAACTGTCTAACTTGAAACGTCTCTGAGACTCTGAGCACTTTGAGCGCTGCGCTTCAATGAGATGGTAGACTCGCCGCTCAGCCTCTCCCACACCAGGAGATGCCTCGCCAACATGCTATGCCGCGCTATGCGATGCATTGCATGAGCTGATCTCTTCCGGACTGCGTGGACATGCGCGGATGTGAGCTCATGGGTCCATAGTGTTGGTCGCGCTCCAGGCCATCCAGGTCGTTCATTCTATGGTGAAGCTTTTGCCTTGAATGAAGCGCTTCTCAGCTTCGCATCTGGCATGACTCTTGCTCGATTGCCTCTGGCTACAGTTACAATGTCCACATGTGCCAAGTAATATTCAGGCTGATAAGCCTAACCATTTCAAACAAGCCCAAGTCAGCTCCTTCTAGGAGTGCTTGGCTTGCGCACAAATTGAGGCCGCTGAACTCCCGAACCGAAACCAAGAAGAGGGAGAGAGAGCGAGAGAGAGAGCAAAACAACGCCGTAACGCCGGTAAACTAAGACAAACACGTAGGATGCCTTGGACTTGGAACAAACGACAGAATTTCTCAACCAACAGCACACTCAGCAGCCTGCCAGACATTAATGACATCCGTCATGCTGGCTCAGAGAGTTGCTGAAGTGACGACAAGATGCCTAAAGGGACCTGCTGCCCTTTTTGCGAATGTTCACATGTCTCTGGAATGGGATCAGTATGTCTAAGCAAGGGAGAAAATGAAAGCGGTATCAATAGTATCAATGTCCTGCTTTCTTACGCTCATGGGTAGTCTTCCGCGCAGATTGGGAACGCACCTTAGCGTGAGATGCCCATCCCCTCCGCGTCGCCCCTTTGCTGCCTGATCCAAGAGCTCCCGCAGCCATCTCTGGCTCTGCACTTCGCTGCCGTTGGCTCCTGGCACGGCTTGCCATCAGAACAAGACCCCCAGAGGACCCAACAATCTCCGAGCCTTTTTCCTGCTGAATCTCTGCCTGCCACAGGGCAGCATCTTTTCAGAAATGATGTGAGCAGAAGCAGCAGAAGCAGGCCGAATGACCTCACATGACAGAATCACACCCCAAAAGCTTCTGCTCTTGCCTCACAGGGTGTAGAAGGCAAGTAGAAGGACCTTATCAATGATGAGCTTCGGCTTCTGCTAGGTAATGTTAGCGGTTAGCGCACACCGGTGGCAAAACAACATTGGATCAAGAGCCCGGCGGCGCAGTGACCAGGACGCATGACAATTGCAACACCATCAAGTGCTGCTCCTGAGGCATACAACTGGCCCTTGTACTTGCTTCACGCCGGCTGCAGGATGTACGATTTTGCTCTCTAATTACTTTGCGAAGTTCCCTGCATAGGGCGTGGCTGTCGTGAAAGCGTGGCCATGTGAAGACCTGAGTAGCAACTGAACTCAGCTGGCACCACTTGCTACAGTAGTGCTAGCTTGTTACGTCTGAACAGCTGAGAGATGTGGCAAAAAAAGTGTTTGTCGTTACACAATTGGTGCTGTTGTTTCTTTGTCCTCAAGAATTCAGAATGGATCCAGCATTTCCAACTCGTCAGAGGCTGTAGGCACCGAGAATTACAGCATCTGGTGTTTTTCACAAACAGCAGATATCGCCAATTACCGCGTGGAGCCCTTCAGAGTCGAAGGCTGCAGGGGCGACAAATGACGGTACGAAGGGTTTGAATAGTTGCAAAATTAAAGACATGATGAATGCCTTCATCAACAATAAGAGCAGTAGATGGCAAGAAGGTAGTGAAGGTAGTGGCAAAAATGAGAAGATGCGAGTAGGGTCTGCTTGAGGTCGCGCTACGGTTTGAGAAGGAATCGTTATCAAAGTTCAGGTTCATGCTAGGGCCGGTTAGGGTCATGTTTTGAAACCAGCAGAGTGCTGGCGGCCTCCCACTTGAAAAGCCTAAAGAACACCGAGAGCGTGCGAGGATTGGCTGGAGGCTTGTAAGCCTTGCTAAAATTTGATAGGATTCGCCGGCCAGCTGCTTGCTAATGTTTCTTCGAATCGCAGCACTCTTGCACCCAAGAGCAACTTGTGGGCACAGCTCAGGTGTCTGGACCACCACTCAATCTCAATGTAGGCACAAGTATGCGCCTTCCCCTGAAGTGTCCAACACTGATGACTCGAGTTGCGTCCTCACAAGGGGAAGGGGGGGGGCAGCCAGCCACCTTGCAGACACTGACAAAGATTCAGGAAGAAACAAAACCCATGCAGCGTAATGTTTCAAGCCACGGAGGGCAACAGCCCTGCCCACTTGCAAAAAATGAGTGATGAGAGCATGTCAAGATTCATAGTATGCTTGCGATATTTGTTGGAATAGTGACATGCCACTCTTGCGCCGAGGGTGGGGACAGCCCCCTGTGGAAGATAATGAGATGTGAAGACTCATTGCACGCCTGCAAAGACAGAATAACGACCGTTTGGTAACGCAACAGCCAACCCTTAGGACCTCTGCGCTTGCCATACCCTGCAGGTTGCCGCGCGTTCTTTGCAAGCACGATGGATTGCACCGAATTTTCTGAGATACACATTTCTTAGGCACAACTGAAGCCCGAGAGACACATTGCTGCGCCTGGCAGCCTGGCATGGTCTTTCTCTGATCCCTTTGAAAATGAGGCCTTCCAAGAGTGGAGAGTTTACGGTCCCCATGCAGGTAAGTCCAGGAACAACGAACCAGCAGGGCTCAAAAAACTTGGCGACGGTTGAAAGATGTTGAACTGTTGCAGGTTTTCCGGCGTTGAGGGCTTGGCCGCAAGGAGCTCAGCGCAGAGGTGAACCTTACAGGCAGCGAGAGGTGATGTCTGATGAATCTCAAGATGTTTAGCCTCTCTTCGCAAGCTGGAGCTCGTGGAGCTCAGCGTCAAAAGAATCCACGAAGCTGCAAGGAACTTGGAATCCAGCGCTTCAACCACGAGCTCCTGCGACTTGTTTCTTCCGGCTGGGGCTCAGACACAAGCCTACTATTGTTCGGACATCCAGGGCTTTAAAGTAATCAGGCCGTGTGACCGGAACTTCACGCGCAAGGAAGAAGGAGACCATACCCCACCTTGATCTCAGAAGCGCTATTCAACCCCCGATGCAGCATCTGAGATATGCTGCATGGTCTGATGCATTCGGACGCGGACGAAAGCTGGATCACAGCAAGCGAGCCGGATTTTTTGCTTTCGCATGTTGATCGAGTGTTGCCAGGGGTTCCCTACAGAACTTAATACTATACTTGCTTCCATGCTTTCATTTCCTGCTGATCAGAGGTAGAGCGCTCTAGCCCTCATAATGATTTCGCCCCCCCTCCCGCCTGTGGAGCCCCCCCATCTATGGTTCTTCTTTGAATGAGCCAGCTTCAATGAATGTCTGCGCATGCCTCTCGGTCATGATTTTGCAGCTTTGCATGGGAAGATTGGCATGCCGATGTTTAAGCCATCTCAGAGTCGCATTCTGGCAGGCACAGCGGACAGTGTTGCTACTAGACCAGCTAGACCTACACGTTGATCTTTAG